ACAGGATATCCCATAGCCCTCGTGTGACTAGCAGTGGTCATGTGACATATAGTTGGAGTAACATACTTATACTGCAATTGTGAAAAAGTATGGGAGCAGGAAATGCTTTCGATTTACATAATCCATAATAAGCCAGCCTAAAAATCTAAGGGTGTCCCACTCACTTACCATATTTATTCAAATAAACACACCACTTAGAATAAACGCCCACCCCTTGAATAAAGTCCCCTCTAGAGGGGGCTGTCTCTTATACACATCTTATTATCACTTTGTAAAACGTTCGCAATTGGACTTTTTTTACGGTATTAATTGGTCGATGATGACGTCAAAAGGAGCAAAGACCGTTCGTAAAATCGACTATTCGTAAAATGGACGTTTTACTGTAAATTGTTTCAACTTATTTATCATTTTAAAATATTTTAATCAACACATAATTAAGAAAAACATCCATCATATTTACCATATAGCCAACTAACAGCGACAACTTCACCAATCGCAATGAAGAAGATTGACACCACAGAAACATACCAATCAATTATTTGGAAATAGTACATGCCACCCTGAAAGCAATGTCTGACAATTTAGCAGTATCTTCAAAAACCAAGTAAAATATGTTTCTGCATAAATGCTCCAGGCCTCCAAAATCTGGCCCAAAGGGATCTCCCAATAATCGGTGAAGTTCCTACACTACCATAAGCAAGGAAAAATGTTATTTACTTTTAGTTTAAGTAATTTAAATTTATGTCTTCATAATGCCTGTAAGTGGAATGTTTTTTTGCAAGTATGTTGAAATGTGAAAATACAATAAAAAATAAACAGTTATTATTCAAATTGATAAAATGCTTTAAATTTATTTAATTATGAGGAGAAAAAGTAATGCTGTCTAGACAAATTATCGGCAGTGGGTGTAAAATTCTTATTTTTAAGGTGGTTTGATAAAAGGCCAAAATGAAAATGTTCTTTTTATTCCCAAATACCGTTTTTGGTGGGCGGTGGATTCATGACATAAGGTATAATATGTCTTGTCTAAATTTTGATTAAATTTAAAGATATATGTTTAAATACAAAATATATTAAGATAAAAATTATGCTTGAATATACATACCTCAAAAGTACACGGTATACCACAAGCAAAGGTAAACAGACAAACGTACAACACAAGAACTTCTTTACGATTGAAATAAAAGGGCTTCAGTCTTGGAAAGCCATCCATAAGAGTTGTGATGACAACCTCCACCATTGCAAACTTATATGAAAAAAAATAAAAAAAATGGTAAAATAAACATTTTGTCATAAAGTAGAATTCACTGACACAGCATGTGACAATGATCTTTATGCAAACTGGTTTGTTCTGCTGTCTGCATGCTCAGCAAAAGATCACTGGAAACACAGACTGATCAGAATGATTTTTGTGGCATGACAATTTATTCTGAATAGGAAAGGAGCTTAAGCCAAGTGACATGAGGTTCTGCTGCACAACTCCAGAGCATTCAAGATCATTCTGCATTGCCTAAGTTCCTCATTGGTCACCTTTACATCATAATTAACCAATTAGACTTATTTGCCTCTATAGTACCCAAAATCCCAGGAGCTTAATTATATTACTCTTGGATTCTACATGGTGTCATGTGTTCCTATAATTAACAATGTGGTTTACACTGTTTCTTTGATTAATTAAATGTTATTCTAAAATGTTCTATGTATTAAATATGTTAAAGTAAGGAAGGGAATGGTAATTTATTACAGCGGTCATAAGAATAATACACTAAATTCTATTTATTTCTTTTTTCTTGCTGATTCATGCCACTGTCTTGTACGATGTAGTTAGGCATTTAACCTATTTCAAAACCAAAATATGAAATTTTTACCTGGCTGTCCAGACCTAAACAGATCAGCATGATGAAAAACAAAACAGACCACAGTTGAGGTACTGGCATCGCAGAGAAGGCTGCTGGGTACACAGCAAACACAAGACCAGGCCCTGAACATGAATAAAAACACAGCTGTGTAAATAGCAAGAGGCAGCCCTGAATATGAATATTATTTATACACATAGAGCATACTGTTTGTGTGGAACAAAAAATGCATACATAATTTGGCTCCTATATCCTTTGCATAGATTTTTAAATCAGCTGGTAATCAATTTTACGGATTTCATATTAAAAAGTCTGAATCATCGTAAATAAAATTTTTAGTATTAGTCAGATTTGAACAGACTCAAAAATCGTTCCAAATTGGTGAGAGATGGAGAAAACAACGATTTTTCATTAAAAGGTATGCATTCATTTATTTACCCTGAGTCACAACATTATCAACATCTTCTCCTTGGATGAATGCAATATGCCCAATAACCGAGAAGATGGCGCAGGAAGCAAACAGGCTTGTAAACGCATTGACGCCAGATATTACCAGAGTATCCCTGTCAAAAAATACAAACATTATACATTCTTACTTTTTACTGTAACACAAAGTAACTCAGAGAAGAGAAACAAATTCAGTAAATAGCAAAATGATAAAAAAGCTTGTAAATGTATATGATGAAACAGCCATCAGTATTTAATAGTACCAGAAGGAAAATAATAGTACTATTCAACTTTATACCTGTATGTGATGTATATATATATATCGAGGACCCATTGAAAATGCTATAAAAAAAGCAAAGGACATACCTCGTGCTCAAACACTGACGTACAAACCACGTCAACGATCGACTAGAGTGCCACTGGTCACTACCTATCACCCTAGGTTACCACCACTAAGGGCTACATTCAGAAACATATGCCCATTCTACAGACCACAGAACGTCTTAGGTCTGTTTTTCCGGATACACCGTTCATAGCCTATCGCAGACCACCTAACCTTCGTGATATATTAGTACGATCTAAATTCAAGAGGCAAATTAAC